TTTTTTTTTAGGCCTGACTTCGAAGAACAATGGCTAGAGATTCCTCCCGGCGAAACTGCAACTGCTTGGAGATGAAATCCTCAATCTTCCGCTGAAACTCCTCATTGCTCAGCTCCTCCTGTGGATGTAATTCCTCGCCGCGCCGTTCGAGTTTCCAGATCTTCTCCGTCTCCGATCGGCGCAGCTCCTTTTTCCCTTTCTCTTCACTCTCTCTCACGAACTTCTCCGATTTGCTCCTCCGATAAGCTCTCCGATGATCCACGTCCTTATCCGAATCAGAATCAAGATCCAAATCGGAATTCCGCTCCCTTTCCAAATCCATTGTACTCGCTTCTGAGATGATTTCCTTGTCCTGGTAAACAATCTCGTCTGTCGAGTGTGCAGCATCGTCTTCCACAAATGGCGTCTGGCGATTGTCACTGTTTTTGACGATTTCCTCGTAGAGTTCAGTATCCGCATTGCTGGCGCCGAGATTCTCGGCGGAAAACCAACCGGACTTGGCGAAAAGAGTGGCGATGATGACGTTGCAGAGCAGGAAGACGAAGAGAGGACTCGCGATAACGCCGCCGACTTTCGCAAAAAACTCGCTGGAGATCCTGACGGCGAAAGGGACGCGAGCGGAGGTCCACGCCAGAAACACAACGGCGAGAATCAGCTCAATGAATCGGAACACTTTCGCGACGCTCTGGAGTAGATTATACCTCCTCATCGCCCTCGCCTTCTCCGCTTTCACGCTGTCAAAATCAAAGCAATCCATAGCACCAAGATCGGAGGAGCTTTACTGCATTTAAATTTGAAGAGCCGAAACTGTTTGGGGACGAAATTTCAGGGAAAGATTTTGAAGGAGGAAGAAGAGGTGTCTGCCTTTTCTTCAAAAGATCAATGGGCCTTGTCGTGGACAAAATCTTTGCCTTTTATAGACTCTCTCTCTAATGCATAAACATTTCTTTTGGATTTTTATATTAAAAAAATTAATTAATCAGGTCTAAAGCTGAGATTAACGGTGCTAATCGGTCTGACGGCCAAGGATTAGTATCGAGGCCCCGCATGGTAACTTCCACGTGGGGATCTTTCGTCTTTTGTTTAAGGTCTTGTTTGGTATACAAGCAAACTTGAAATTTAATGAATGATGGGTAAGTACTTATAGCCATACGGGGCTTATTTGTTGCATTGTATAATTTGTTAAAATTTATTTTAATTTAATTATTAAAAATAGTTAATAATTAAT